GTGATTTCAAATGTGTATATTTAAATTAATACTTTAAATAGAAATCTATTTTATCTATATCCCTATATAGTTTATTTATTCAACTAGGTCACAAAACTTTTCTAATTTTTTAATTCTTACAATATGTAGATTACCTTATATTTTGGTATGTACAGTATACAGAAGGCACCATACCATTAGAAAAATTTACAAACACACTGGTTGCACAACATACACCTACTTTTAAAATTATTTCTCTGCCCATTTTTTGGCATTTAGGTTATTCTAATTTTTTTCTATTATAAGCACTACTATGTTAACAGATATGTTAACATATGTATATTGTCAACATTTCTGGTTACATCTTTATGAATTTTTCACACTTATTAACAAACCATTTTCCAGAAAGCACTCTCAACAACAGTGTATGATGCCAGCTTCATTGCAAACTCACCAACATCTGAATACTATTTAAAAAAACATCTTTACCAATTTTATAGGGCAGTTTTTATTGAGCATTTCTGTATGTTAGGCACAGTGTTAAAGTGGAAAGTGTTCTGCAGTTTTCTATTTGTAGGCCTTCTTTCCCAGAGATAAGTATCAGAATATTTTAGCTTTATTAAAAAAAGAAAGAAGTTGTTGTTTATGATTTTATACCTGTAGGCAAGTTAAAACAGCATGACAATTTGACTATACCTGCACTTGCTTCTCTGTTTTCCAATCTTTCTCCTTTCTGTCTCCTTCTGTCTACTTGCTCCAAGTTTGTATGCCTATCATTTAAGGTGTTTTTTCCTCACTCTGTCGCTCAGGCTGGAGTGCAGTGGCACAATCACAGCTCACTGCAACCTCGAACTTCTGGGCTAACGTCATCCTCCTGCCTCAGCATCCCGAGCAGCTGTGACTACAGGTGCACACCACCACATTCAGCTTATTTTTGCATTTTTTGTAGAGATGGGGTGTCACTACGTTGTCCAGACTGGTCTTAATCTCCTGGCCTCAAGCGATACTTCTGCTTCAGCCTCCCAAAGTACTGGGATTACAGATGTGAGTCACTGTGCCAAGGCTATGTTTTTAATTTTTTGGGGTAAGATCTATATACAGTATTCTGTTAAAGTCTGAAAAACTTTTACATTTTGTGGCTCTATCAATTTTCTTACTCTCTAATGATGTTTATGAATTTCCATTCTTTTTCCTTGATCAGATATGCTAGACATTTGTCTATTTAATCATGTCAGACAAGTAATTCAAGGTTTCATTCTGCTGTAGTATTTTGTTTAGAAATATTAGAAAATTTGTTTTCTAAATCATTAAATTTTGCTCTTTATTAATATCTTGCTTTTCTCTTTGGATCTATTCTTTCTTCTTCCTCCTGACTTCCTAAGTTCATTTATTTTCATTCTTAGTAAGTTTAATGATGATAACTACAAACTTTTACTGAATATAGCATAACTTTGGCTTCACACCGTAAGTACTAACGGCTATGCACATAATGTCTACAATTTTGGGACTTTCTGTTTAATAAGGAATTACGTATGCTGTTAAAATTGTTAAAAGTTTTCAGTTAGTATTGTGTTTCTGTCAATTTGCCTTACATTTCTAATAATTTTTGCTTTATATATTTGGATGGTGTTATCTGGTGTTTCGTAAGGCAATAAAATTTTATCTTTGCTTTGTATTATATGCTCTTTATTATTACAAAATTACCCTCTTTTTGCTGTGCAATATTTTCTGGTTTTAATTTTTTTTATCTAATGTTAATATTGTAAATTTTTGCTTGTGTGTTTTCAAAAGCATTTTTAACTGTTATTTTTTCAACTATCACAGAAAAATGGTTATCACTTAACCTTGCCAATTTGAAACATGAGTTTACTTTTATTGTCATCTCTTTGAATGTTAAATTTGATATTTCTAAATTAATACATA